CGTCGCGCGCTGCGGGAAGAGGGCGGAGGCCAGAGTCAGGGAGCTACACCGAGAGCCGGGGAGCCTGCCAGCCAAGCTTTGAGAACAGGCCCCCCGGCTCAGCAGTGCCGTGCCCCGCCTGCCCTCGCGGTAAGGGAAAAGCAGCTGCTCCTGGGCACCGGCTGCTGGTGGTGCAGAGCACGCCGGGCAACGTGCCCATTTCTGTGCCATGGCCGAGCAGCCCATGCCCACCCAGAGACCGGTGCCCTGGAGCTAGCAGCCCGCAGTCATTACCACCCGGCCTCCCCACCTCTCACAGGCAACAGCAGAGCGACGGAACCAAACCCCGGCTCTGCCACGCAGGGGGAGGGCACACCCAAGAACACCCCAGCGGGCACAGCTGGCGGGCAAAGCAGCCGGCTTCGCCCACGGCGGGCAGGGGACACGGCGCTGGACGAGTAACAGCATCGCTTGGCTGTCAGCCAGTCGCTGATCCACAGTCCTGCCTGCCCCAGCGGGAGCCCAGGCAGGTCAGCCACCCCCGTGGCCAGCACACGGAGCCCAGCGGCCAGCACCCCAGGGGCATCCCCACAGGACAGATACTGCCGCCATCTCACCCAGGCTGCTCCTTCAGCAGAGACTCCAGCCTGGGCACCAGCAATGGGCAGGACCTTACTCAGGGCCCCACAGCTGCACCCGCCCCCGGGCACTGCCATGGCCAGCGCTGCCCCCTACAGCCCCACAGCTGCACCCGCCCCCGGGCACTGCCATGGCCAGCGCTGCCCCCTACAGCCCCACAGCTGCACCCGCCCCCCGGCATTGCCATGGCCAGCGCTGCCCCCTACAGCCCCACAGCTGCACCCACCCCCGGGCACTGCCATGGCCAGCGCTGCCCCCAGAGCCCCACAGCTGCACCCGCCCCCCGGCATTGCCACGGCCAGCGCTCCCTGCAGAAATCCTGTCGCTGTGCCCAGTGCTGGAGATGCACATACCTGCGATGGGGCTGGAGAAGATGCCCAGTGCGTGCGTGTCGTCCACCCATTTGATGTCAAAGCCTTTCTTCCTGCCAGGGACAGTGAGCAGCTGAGATCTGAGGCATCGATGACATCAGCACAGTGGGGGCGAGGGACAGGGGGGCAGGGGCCGCCGAGGGGGGCCTGAGGGGACTGGCCCTGGGGAGGGGCTGGAGCGGTTTCCGCAGCGCCATTTCGGACGTGAGGCCAAAGGTGAGGCTCAGCGGGCAGGAACTGGCTGGGGAAGGCCTCGATCCGGAGCCCCGTGGCCATCTCGGGGGCGTGTGAATCTGGCAAAGGAGCTGGCAGAGCTGGGAGCTGCCAGGGGGAGGTCCTGGCCTCTGGGGCAGCGCAAAGGCCTGAGCTCTGGAGAGTGACCGTGCAGGCTGGGCAGGGGTCTCTGCCCAGGCCAGGGGGACTCACTGGTAGCTGCAGAAGACGCGCAGCAGGTCGGCGGTGCCGAAGTCCTGCGGGAAGTCGTAGATCTCGATGACATGGGGCAGCTCCGAGTGGCTGAGGTCCAGCTCAGCGGGCTGCCAGCCGCAGTAGTCAAAGCGGGGCTCCTGCAGGCTGCTCCTGGGCTTCTCACCGCCCGACAGCTGGGGGGACACACAGGGCTGTGAGCTACGCCCAGTGCCCAGGATGGGACCCCCCCACCCTACCCAACAGCCCTGCTCAGAGGGACAGCTCGCGGGCACCTGCCCCATCGCACGCTCTGCAGCTTGGCAGCCTGGCTGGCTGCAGTCTCTGTGCGGAGCGAGCGAGCAGGCTGATTAATGGGGCGAGTCCCCGGGCCTGTGCGCCAGCCATCAGCCCGGGAGATGGATTAACGGCCCTGGGGACGCGGGGAGCTATCGATCGGGCCTCCGCGCTGCGCCTGGGCCTCTCCTGTTACTAACCTCCCTTGGCTTTGCTGTGCCACTGGGGTCCAGAGCCGGAGGCAGGACACAGCCACGGCTGGTGCACTGGCTGCTGGCTCCCTGGGAACCCTTCAGGTGCCTGTCATGCTCACTGCCAGGGCACGCTGCCCCACACAGCACATGGCACCTCCCCAAAACAAAGCCAGCAGCCACACGTCCAGCTCAACCCCAGTGCCATGGCCGGACCTCTCCCGGCCTGCACCAGGCAGGCAAAGGGCCACGCTGGGCAGCACAAGCTGCCGCACGGGCACTGGAGATGGCGAGGTCCCAGCGACTCTCCAAGGGATCTGGGCCAAGGGCCGGACACACTAGCCAGCCCCTGACATGGCGCTCACAGGCAGGGCCTGGGGCGCCTGCGGCTGGAGCCAGAGCAGCATCTGCAGCGTGGAGTTGCTCCGCTGGGGCTGACTGAGAGGATGGATTCAGAGCTAGGGACTGCTCACCGCTTGGGTGGGAAAGCCAGGCTGCCCCAGCCCACATTACGGGGGTCCCCCTCAAGTGGGTCCCATGCCAGCCTGCGCCTCTGCCCCAGAGACAGCAAACGGACCTGGGTCGCAAACCTATCACCCAGTCCGGGCTCTGCCCTGGCCACCCCCGGTTCTCCGGAGCAAGGCACGTTCCCACCCAGCAGCCGGTGTGTCTGCTGGGCACGGTGACATCGACGGCACTTCTCTTCAGAGCCTCCTGGGACCCCGCAGAGAGACAGGCTGGTACGGAGTCCTAGCAACAGCTCACGCGTCCCCAGCGTGCGGGCACAGCGGCTCCCAGCCCCTCAGACGTAACCGCAACGCGCTGCACGGGGGATCCTGTCCCACCCTGAACCAGCCCCCCTGGGGCGTCGCCGGGCACTGCAGGACAGGCCCAGGGACACACAGCGCTGTCACAGCCACGCGCGGAGAGCCAGCGATGCCGCCAGGGCCAGCGATCTGTCTCGCGCTCTCCCCGCCGCGCTATGCCCACCAGAGGAACCCTGGGTCCAGCCCAGCCCCGGGGGATCTAAGGGGGGCAAAGCGCATTTCCAGCACAGGATGCAGCCCGGAGGCTCTAGAGCAGGGCCCAGGGATCTCTAATAGCGCCAGGCTGCCTGGAGCTCCGTTTTACATCCCATCCAAACACACAGCAGCAAGCACCTTCGACAGGCCCAGAGGACAGAGGAAAGCAGCCCACGCAGCACAGCACCCCGGATATGATAGAAACCACTTTGAGCCAGGGGGTGCAGCAGCCCCCCCAGTTCCAACCCCTGTGCCCAGCCTCGGTCCCCAAGCAGCCATAACAGGATGCAGCGGGGCTGCAAGTCCCAGGCAGCCCGGTCAATATGCAGTGTTCATTGGGACCCTTTGCCGGTAAGGAGGGATGTGAGGCAGGCGAGGGGACAGCAAAGAGGCTGGGTGCCGGCGGAAGGGACGGCTGAGTTCTGAAGCACATGGGACACATTCTGGCTATCGGCGAGCGTGCCGGCAGCACCGCTGGGCTGGGCCAGCCCTGCATTCACTAGGAGCGCTCTCAGGGCGCACATCCAACAGGCTGAGAGCCCTCTGCTGCCACTGGCTTCAGTGGGAATTGTGCTGCACGGCTCAGGCAGGATCGGGCCCTGCGGAGACGCTCCAGGAAGCGGAGCACTCAGGTAACTCCGATGATCAGACACCATGGAGTGCAAACTGCTCAGCCCGCACCATCCCTGACCTTCACGAACCACTGAGCGCAGGAGAGGGGAAGAGGGATTAGAGAGCCGGGCTGCCAAGCGGCTGCTTCCAGGCCTAACGGCACAGGTCAGGCCAGCGCTCTGCGAGCTCCCCAGCCTGCCAGCTGCAGCCCCTCTGCCTCCAGGGCTGAACCCACCCGCTTGCTCCTGGCAATGCCTGCTGGAGGCCTGCCCCACTGCAAGGGCTCCCTGCCCTGCTCCTTGGGCGGCCGCTCAGTCAGTGCTGGAGTCCTGGCTCACCAGCGAGTGCAGCCAGCGACACGGCACCAAGAGGGCAGGCTAGAGCCAGCGGTGCCAATCCCCGACCCGGGGCAGCGCTCAGTCCCCGTCCATCACCACATGCCGGGGCTCAGGGACACCAGCTGCTGGGCAAACCCGGCAGGTGAGTGCTCCCAGGGGCATGGGTGAGGCTGCCCCGAGGCTGACTCCAGCCCCACACCCCCAGGGCGCTGCATCACTCCCCAGGGCGGCCTGCTCTCCAGCGTGTTCCCACGGCGGGGGCTGACAGAACTCCCAGGAGAGCCAGAAAGTGGTGGACAAAACATCGAGGGGTGGGGCTATTCCACCCCCACCCCCATTTTGCGGTCCTCCGACAGAGCGCTGGGGGGAAGGCTGGCTACTGCGATGCGGGCTGACAAAGAACGGGAAGGAGCGCGCTCCTCCATCGGGGCTGTCACCCCCACCCTCTCCTGGGACCCCACTGGGCCTCACAGGGGTCCTGACCAGCCTGGGCCAAGACAGGGACCCAGATGACGTCACCAGCTCCCCTGGCTCCAGCTGTATCCCGACCATCGGCTGGGTCAGCCTCCGCTCCCGGGTCCTTTCCTTCCCTCGCGCTCTTTCCCGCTGTCTAACGATTGTCTGGCTGAGCACTGCTCAGAAAGGCAGCTCCAGGCAATGCCCAGGACACGCGGCGCTGGGACAAGTTCGCCAGTCTCAGAGGGGCTGATAAGATCGTGTGCTGGGCCTGCGTTTTTAGCACTGAGATTGCAAGTGAAGGTCAAGACCAGAGACAGAAGCTGCATTTTTCTCTCTTTGCAGTTCTTTTCTTCCCCTCTTGTGGTGTCTGTCAGGAAACGGGATCAGACTAACAGCAGCACCAGCTCCAGCCCAGCTCAACTCCCTCCTTCCCCAAGGACAGCTGGACGTTAGGAAAATCCTCCTGTCAGGGTGGTTAAGCACTGGAACAAATTGCCCAGGGAGGGGGTGGAGGTTTTTAAGAGCAGTCAGACACACACCTGTCAGGGAAGGGCTACATCAGGGCTTCTCAACCGTCACTGCACTGCGACCCCCTTCTGACAACAAAAATTACTACACGCGCCCAGGACCCTGAGTCCGCCCCAGTCCCACCGCCCCGGCTGGGGGGCCAAAGCCTGAGCCTGTAACCCTGTAACACCGGTAACCTGAGCCCCACGCACAGCCCCAAGCCCCAGCAAGTCTAAGCCAGCCATGGAGACCCCACTGAAATGGGGTCCCGACCCACCATTTGAGAACCGCTGGTCTAGGTAATACCGAGTCCTGCCTCAGTGCCAGGGGCTGGACTAGCCGACCCAGTGAGGTCCCTGCCAGCCCTACACGTCTGTGATTCCCATCTAGGAGCCTGTCAGACAAGGGGATTTCCTTCCACAGACTCTCGGCAGCTACTGGGGGAGGGAACAAGGGACGCTTCATCCTCTACACTTCAAATGCGCCAATGTTTCTCTCTCTTTTCTGTACCAGTAACAAAAGGTTAAAAGGCTGCTGAAGGGTGTACAGGCCATGGCGCTAGTCAGGCTGTATCTGAAACAACAGGCTGCTGAAGGGTGTGCGGGCCATGGC